ATTTTATATTATTTATTATAGTAGAGGGTTTTACGGCGCTCGGAACAGCATAAAGTCATATTATGAGCGCCATTCCCTTCAATTGTTCCTGTCTGTGTCTTGCTTCGTGATTGTGAATGTGCTTCTCTGTACTCAAACCAAGAAACCAAGAAACAAACCAACAAATAAACAAACATTCAACAATTCGACGACGTATTGACAAGCAATGCTTGTGACATGTCTTTTAAGTATATGGCCACGTGACTGTACTTGTAGTGTGTCATTGGTCAAGACACAATAAGTCCAGCCCAAGAAGAGAGTGGTAGTAACAATGTCCTTCTCCTCTTGTTAAAAATCATTAAAACTAAAAACTACGCTATAACCACCACCGCCTTCATCCCCCCCCCTTTAGTTCTTACTGACATTTTTACACACATCACGAACATTCTCTAGATCAATCACGTCTCCCTGCATTTTCAACACAAGTACACACGTAATCACGTATACTCAACACGGTAAGGATGCGGGAAGCTGCAAGTAATTCATTTACGTAAACACAAAAATAAATTTATAGTCTCAGTGACAGTGTCGCGCATGTGGAGGGTCCGTGCTCTTGAGAGCATAATATATATAGCTAAATACAGGTAAATGATTACCTCGTCCGTGTAAGATCGATCACCCTGCCACATGAGATCGCTCTTGCCTGGAGTTAGTTTTAACCCCTTAGACACTGCTAGGGAATTATATTAACGGTGTAAGGACTAGATTTACCTGCTCGGTATGGTCGGTGATAAAAAAAAAAAGAAATAATACAGGACAGGAGAGGTAAAAAAATATGAAGATCGCTGGGTAGGACAATTAGAAGAAGATGAAGTTTACATACAATGACGATGAAATAAAGGGAAAACATCTTGGAACATATTGTCTGTGCGTTTGTGTGTGTGTGTGTGTGTGTGTGTGTGTGTGTGTGTGTGTGTGTGTGTGTTTAAGGAGTGGACAGAGGAGGGAGGTCTGAAAACAAAATGTCATATTTCCTACGATCAAGACCTTTATCTGAGCTTTAAAGTCGGATCTTACAAAGCGTTTTGACCACATGGTATTGTAAACCTTATCATGAGGAAGAATGAGGAAGCCCACAGTTGAAAAAATCAGGATAATTATGCTATATCTCTCTGGTGCAGGTCCCTTCCGGTATTCAAAAAGCTAAGCATTCTGAATCCAAATGTCCGGCGGTCAGTAAACCCTGGTATACGGGATCTCTCGCAAACAAGAAAGTTTCACGTAGGCATGACCTCCAGCATAATATTGGGTGTTACAATACTTTGAAGGTGATTAGGAAATCAAAAGGCATTAGAGTATTAGACGACAGTGCACCAGCTAGCTGGCTTGATATCCTACATTTGGTCTGATTAAGTATTGTATTAGACTCTAACCCCTCCCCCCCAAAAAAAAACCCCCCAACAAAAAACAACAACCCAAAAAACCCAAACAAAGCCCACAAAACAACCCAACAACAGCAAAAAACAAAAACAAACGCACACACACACACAAAAAACCCAACAGAAAACAAAGTTTAAAAAATCCCCACCAAAAGCAAAATAACCCCAACAAAAACCAACAAAACAAAACAAACAAAAAACAATAAAAACAAAAAAAAGTAACCAAAACAACAACAACAGCAACAACAACAACAAAACACCAAGATTTTGATGTAATGAGTATTCTTCCCGGAGACATAGATATATATACCCTGAAAGAAACTGGCTCTAACCAGAGGGCCTTGATCTACATCCAACCGCAGTTGCTTATTCTCACAGGGTTGTTACTTTTTTAACAATGTCACAGATTTAATCTTTTGTAGACGAACATTTTGTATGTCATTTAAAAAATCTCTTAATGTGTCTCACAAACAAACCCTCCCAGAAAACCCCCCCAATAAAACAAACAAAACAAACAACAACCAACCCCTACTCCCCCAACCCCCCAATCAAATAAACAAACAACAACAACAACGACAACAACAAACAACAGCAACAACAACAACAAAAATTCCTACAAAAGAATAGCTGCAACATCGTTTTCTTTACAAGCAAAATATTATATTATTATTTTAAAATTTTATTTTACTTTCAAGCCAAGCTTTCTTTAAGCTTTGTGTTCGGAAAGCATTCACGCTTCTGCTGTGCTGTTTCTGAGCCGTATTAATGTCAGTGATTATTTTCTATAATACGTAAATAATGAGTATTAATCTTCTGGTATATCCGTACCAACAAGAAAATGTACTTTGAATGATGAAAATATGTTAATGACTAATACCGTGAGAAAAGTGCTTATGACTGTAGATCTACCGGTAACTGATATATAAGGCAAACATTTTGTTTGGCGCGCGCAGGCAGTATCACAGTCAGCGGCAGGTATCGTCACCGGACGAAGATGGATGGCTCAATGATGGCGTATGACGTCACGTCTATAGTCCGTCGTGTGTTATGAGTGAACCATCAAGTGGTAGGGCCTATAGTAAATTTGCAACTTTTCTTTATTCTTTATTTTTCGCACCACGGTTCAGTTCGAATCTGAGAGATGGGGGAAAGGGGAAATCTATGAAATCTACTTACAGATTCATAATGAATGCGCTCTGTGATATAATCTAGTCTCCAGCAGAGTTTACAAAAGTCCCATCAGACTTCGAAACACAATGACTTTCAGTAGATCTAGATCTAGATCTAGATCTATATAGCAAATGATACCAACGGGTTACTGGTAAGAACAGAAATCTAATCTAAGCGCTTTTGCTTATCCCCTTCTCAGAAACTTTCCGGAAATTCATTATAACGCCGTTTTGAATGCATGTTGGTATTTGGTTGAAAGCCCAAACCCGACCACACCGTGCAACACACTAAATTAAAAAAAAGTATTTCACATTTAGATCTCCATTCTTGAATGAATTACTACGACCATGAGGTCAGAAACTAAATGTTCTGTCTGCTCTATCAAAATAGTAACGTTATTCGGAGTCGTTATCGAGATATTCCAAGAATTGTATTCGTAAAAGCTTGACATGTTGTGATTCTCAAAATTTTTGACGTCAGATTTCTCAAAACTAGGTACTGTGCAGACAGAACTTTGTACTTCTGTGGTAGCGATTTGCCTTCTTTACATACAGTCTTGATCTGACGCAGGCGATTTTCTTGCAAGAAATTTGTAGCCTCCCTCCCGCCCTTCATGTCTAAATTAGTCTATTTGCTGATCTGCCTTTTTAACATTCTACTTATGATTTAAAAAAATAATCTAAAGTGCTGCTCATACTTAATGTGAGAAAAGATAATTTATACCCGTAGTGTCCCTTAGAATAAGAGTGGTCTAACTCAACTTTTTGAGCTAACAAAATTATCAGTCCCACGATGTCGACAACTACCATAATATCTCTCCGTCATTAAATAAAATTCTAACCCCAGTGCAATACTTTTTTAAATGATTAAACGTGATCTCAAAGCATAAGATTTGACATAATTTTTTTCATGAAAATCAAAAATCTCATTTTCCTCAGAACATGGAATAGTGAAGTAAAATCACTCTTATTCTGATGGGCAATACGCGCGCGCACGCACGCGCGCGCGCACACACACACACACACACACACACACACACACACACACACAAACACACATCCACACAAACACACACATACATACACACACAGAGGCATAATAGATATGTATACATACACATGAACGTTTCCACTCGAACGTTGGTATTTCTCTTCTGTACACGCCTTCAGTGTAACGTCACCGCCTTGATTGCTTTTCTTACGATTAGAAGTCTCTGTCCAACTTCAATGAGAGAAATGCATTCGCTGAATATAGCCTGCCCACACTGAAAGGGACCCTTATGAAGAGGGGTGAGGAAGCATGGAGCACCCCGTCTTCCTTAGACCCCAGTTCTACATTCAAGTATTAAATCCAAGTCAGGGGTACGTTATATTTCTTAGCGACGTTTGCATTTGTCTCATTGCCCCCCACATAGTAAGGAAACAAGAAAATACACCATTTTGGCTTATGTATTGCACAGAATCGCCGGTTAGCGTGCTCAACATTTTCCGACGCACGCCAATGGATGTACAAAGTAGAAAATGAAATACGTCGCTTTTCAGAAGAAAAAAAATATGTTGTTAACGTGACAAGGTTGTTTATTTCTTTCCTTACACAAGTATCCGTCCTGTGGCGTTAGCAAGATCGAACTCCAGCAAGCCCTATCTTTCCCCGAAAATGAGGCGAAAAAATATATTTCGTATAAAAATGATAAGGCTACGAGTTTCTGTATATTGCGCCCTAACTCAAGAAGGGAAATAGGTTGGGCTGTCAAACACAAGTTTTACAAGACAACCTCACCAAAAAAATAAACAAAACAAAACAACAACAACGACAACAAAAACAACAACAACAACAACAAACAAACAAAACAAAAAACACCCCAAAAATCTAAACACCAACAAAAATAAACAAAAACAACAACAACAACAACAGCAATAACAATAACAAC